AACAAAAATTACTGATAAAGATGATAAAGGAAGCATTGGTTTTTTAAAATAACCAGTTGATAAAATCCATCTATAAAATTTATCTTGACCATCTTCTTCAAATATATGATCCAATTGAAAATGTAATAAACATCCAGCAATTGCTAATAAATAACATTCTTTCATATTTAATGACACTATATTTTTACTGGTTTGTTCTATGTTAACATTACTGAGTTCAGTACTTAAGGATTTTGTATACTTCCAATTTACTATTTTTCTTGATAATCGCGAAGATAAAAAAGATATTAAAGGTGCCATTATTAGAATATATCCAATACTATGATGAATCCAGGACATTGCTTTATCAGCTAGGATAGGAAACGTTATTTCAAAACACCAACCAATAAATGCTCCGATATCAGGTCCAACAAATCCATTCAAAGCTAATATAAGACAATGCATGGCAGTGAAAGATCCTTTTGTCGATAACATGATTAATGTTCCAAATCCTAATGCATAACCAATATGAATAAATGGACTTGGCATATTTTGATCACTAGATACGAAAAAGCAAATATAAGAAATTTTATTTCTTTCTTAGTACAATTTCTGGGAACTAAGATCTTGAATATTAGAACTTACACTCGATTGAATTAATGAATTTTCTCTAACAATAAAGTAAGTCAAGCATATCATTCAACTAATTCTTTGTTTTCAATCGACTGATGTACAGTAACTTTTTTTTGCAAGTAATTTTCTCGAAACATTCACATGTGACGACAATATATAGTCAGGCTTAGTGACAATGTTTTCGAAGGAACGATAGTATAGCTCAGTGAAAATGTAGATGAAATCTAGGAATAATTTTTCAGGTAAATATATTGAATATAGAAGGCTAGAAAGAACTGTGTCACGATTTATTTATCAAGGTCATTGAATAAAATGAAATGTTCTACAATAATTTTGATTAATACAACAGTATTAACATTGACTAGTAGTTACTCGATAGATATTAATATTAATAACCAATAGATAGAAGATGATGAAAAGAAAAAAATACACAATTATATAAAAGTTGTTGATATTCTAGATGCCGCACTTTTACAGAAGATCTATGAAACTCTAGAATAACTTGAAATCAACATATTCAATATGCTCATGTAGTCATTAGGCAGTTTCATGTTTTTTGAAAATTTTTTGAACACTTTTTTTTATTTATCTATTGAACGGCAGTATCAGAAATTCGAAAAAAATATTGCTATATACTTTCGACTATAAAAGTCTTCTCGGAGTCTCAGTAGAACTACGAAAAGTGTATTGAGACTTGAAGAGAACATCAACAGTCGGTATCTTTTTCAAGGATAGTTCGAATCTGATTATTGCCATCAAATACATCTATAGAACGTGAGTATGCGACAACATTTGAAAATAGACAAACTTTTCATTACGGCGAAATTAAGATATGGTTCGTAGGAATTTCGAAAATCTTTAAAGTTTATCAAACATTCTTTTGCAAAATTCTACCGATTTCGTACAATAGAAATAGAGCAAGAAAAATAATACTGACAGTCGAAAATATGAGATAGAAAGATAAAAATCATATCCCATGTACTCTTATTGTTTTCTCTCATATTTTTTCAATTTATTTTTTTTCGTTCTGTTCAAATACTACAATCGTTAGTATTCGGTACTGTTCAATTTATGTTCAAAAATTTTCATTCATGCTTAAATAGTAGACGTTAAATAAATGAAACATTTTTATTTGTCATTTTTCTTGGACATTTTGGTTAAAATTTGAAAGACTTTGATATAAGCTCGATTGAAAGAAAATATTTCTCTTTATATATAATTAATAAAAATTAGATTTATTGGTATAGAATATTCATTGATTTGCACTGTAAAGATATACAGTTATCACGATTTAGATTTTGACAAAACTGCAAAGTTTATCAGATAGAATAGATATCTTCGTAGTCAGATAATTTGTATATAAATCTATAAAATTGTTAATAAATCAAATGAGTAATTTGCAAGTTTGATTTCAGCATTTGTCAAGTTTTTCATTCGTATCAATTATATTGAGATTACTGTGACGATTTTTAGATAGAAGAAGGGTTAGTGAAGATAGAATTACACTTTATTCGGCTTCTTCATTTCATCAATCGCACCTGCATACAAATGTTTCTACACTTTATATACACAGGCGTCAAAAATAAGCAAATATCACAATATAATGATGTGAAATATAATACCAGAGGATAAGGACAAAACTTAGACTAAGGATAAAGTACATCCTGAGGACAAAATATTAAGCAAGCCTAACCTTCATCGTTACAATTATGTATTGAGTGTAATTAAGATAGTTTTAGGATTATTTAATGATGAATGCCTTATCTATTTTCAACAGAATCATTGCTACTTTTGACAAACTTTGTATCTATCTCAAATATATTTATGATTCCTGTTGAAACGTAAAAACAGATGTATACTGATATTACTTTTTCTAATCTCTGACGCAAAACATTGTACTTTTTTTTGAAAAAATGTGTTGGTGATATTTAATATGCAAAGTGTATCAGTGTTCTCTAATTGTAGACCAGAAACCCAGGTGAACATATTCTTTTTTTGTCACAATACAAGCGTTTGAAAAGGCATTAGTCCAAAAATCAGCGTGAATCAATAAATTCAAAAATCTTGACAATTTATACAACAGTCAAGAAAGCACTGATTTTCAGCAAATACTTCTATATACATATCTGAACGATAGTATTAGCGTTCATTCGTGAAGTCTATGTTAGACTATTCTAGAGCTATTCGAAAGATCCAATATCTTTGATTGAACATAGGATTTTACGAATTCAATTTACACTTTGAAGAAAAATTAAGGTGATCTTCAAAAATAGTTCATTATACTGCATCGAATCATGCATATGAACAGAAAAAAAATTGAGTATCTTCTTATTTTTAATCATTGAAGACTTGTAATGTTGCTCTATAGATATTTTTAAAAATATTTTCGCATAAAACAAGTCAATAGTATAAAATCTAATGACAGTATGAATTATCAAATTATTTCATCTATATTATTTCACTCAATAAAACTCTGAAATTTTGGTAACGAAGGGAAACCTAATACTGTGGATTTGTTTAACTAATTACTATAATATTAATTAATGAATCTCTTAAAGCTTGTTAAATCAATATATCAACCAATCATTAATATACAGTGAATGTTATCTCATCTGATTTACAGACTAACATAGATATATTTCCTATATTATATCAAATTTTCGTTGAAGTATTTCTTGTTGAATTCTAATGAAGAATAGACGATTAAATGATCAAATAATATTTGAAAAGAAAAAACTAAAAAAAACGGTAAATAAATTATTCAAGTGTTACGTAATTGATGCCAACAAGGATGAAGAACTTTAATAATCCAATATTGAATCGATAATGCATAGGCGTATTGATGTGATATTCAGTCGATGTGATCTATTCTGAATTTCTTACATAAAATAAATTGCTAATCTAACTAGATAATGTTAATATGTTGCTTTGATTTTAAGATATTTAAATAAAACAATACGAGCCATGAAATTCGACTACTAACAGTCTTTTAATATTAGATAGATCTTTTTTCATGAAAAAACAAATTATATATTTGTGTATAAGTCTTTCGTATTGATCATAAACTAATATTCATCTCATATTTTTCATAGTCACTTTTTTATTGGTACAACAATATTTGAAAGAAAAAAAAATTGACGCTTTCATTTTAAAAGATATTGCTTCGTTCAATTGATTAGTAGTAGTTCCGTTTAAATCAACTACTATGTATAATATCAAATAGATTATAAATCTTTTTTCTGTCATTGTATGACGATTTTAATAAATATTTATAGTGATATAAATTAAATGGTACTTGAAAAAAAAACTGAATTTTCGCTGTGTTCTAATTACAATCTGGACTTACCATAAATATAAGGAACTTTCAAGAATATATCAGTTCTTTGAATAGCTTCACTTATTTAAAACAAGGAAAAAACTTTGTATTGTTAGATAATAATTCGATATAGTAAAATTTGGTATCCAGCAAAAAAAGGATAAATAAGAAGAAGGATGAATATCAGTATCTTTTAGCTATCTTGCAATATGGGATGCTGCTTGGTGATAGATCCGAAAGCTCGATGCCTTCTCTACTAATAATACTTCATACAAACCAACTGACCAGATACGAACTGCAAGAAGGGATATATGTCCCAACGTAGTCAGCATGCTATCGAACGGCTGATTCAAGACAAATTGCTATCAGTGATTTGTTAAGAGTCATTCTATAGTTGGTGATACTGAGAATTGCACACAATACCTTGCGGTCAAGTGTCATACTACGCAGTCATTTAGTCATAGTGGCTTTAAATAGGAGTAATTTTATTACATATTGTTAATATAAATAGATGTATAGATGAGACAATATGCTTGTCTTCTTGAACATATTTGATAAAGAATATTAGCTTCAATTGTACAATTACTAGAATATAATCAGAATGATTAAACTAACTATGAAATATTCAACGAATAAATATTAAATTACCTTGTGCAAATGAAAAATTATTTGTAGCAAATACTAGACGACATATAAAACGCAATTTACCTTATGTCTTTAAGGTTATTTTAATATAAATTAAAAAAAAAACTTGTATCAATATCAAACTATAAATTTGCAGATTTGTATTGAATGATTGAGTTTATTGTAATGTCTGGTTTATTATCTATCTAGTGATCTTCTTTTACGTTTTAAACTTTTGCAAAAAAAAACCATTATTTGACAGTTGATCTTTCATGATTTATATTTAGATTAATTATATATATCTTTTATTTTATCTATAGATAAGTTTAATAAAACACAGAAAATTAGTATTTGAAAAGAACAGTATACACATAAGGAGTGTAGCGTTAGTAAGTTCATATAAGATAAATATAAGCTCAAATAGTTTTTAAAAATCAATGTAATGATTTTAATGATTTTCAATAGAAACATGTATGAACAAAGTTGAATAAGTTAGATTATTATTTTTAGCTCTCAAATGAACATGACGATATCCTACAGATGAAATAAAATTAATAAATATTGAGAATTAATTTCAATGAATATTACCTGTTTGCATAGTTGTCATTGGTAAACAAAAATAAGTAAGTCTATCATCTCTTGTAAATACATCATAATCATAAACATCAAAACGAACAAGACACATTTGTGGAAAATAAATATCAAATTGAAATGTTTCATTCCATAATGGATCAAATCCATTATTTTCTATGAATTTTGTTCTTTGTGATTGTTGATCACATGGCATTCCATGTGTTGATACAACAACATATGGATCTGGAATATCTCTTGTTGTTTCACTTGATCGAGATAAAAATTGACCACTAATTATAATTATCGTTAAACGTTGAGGACATTCAAATAGATTAACTGGTAATATAGATGGTTTTTTAAAATAATTAAATGGATTAAATTGATATTCATGTACATTAATTAAATATTTTGGTTTCAATACATAACCACATCCACCATTATCGATAAATTTTCCATAAGATAATGACATCATTAAATCGTCATTTTGAAAATTTAATGCAACCATCTGAATACCGAAATTCCAAGCATTTATTGGATTAGGATTACTTGAATCTTGTCTAAAACCATCTGGATACATTCGAAATGAACTTTTTGTTGTTTGTTTAATTAAATCTATTGAATCGTTTTGTGATATTCGATTAAAATGTTTTTCAGCAAGATTTGGTGAATGACAACATGAACCTATTAAAAGATTAATTTTATATTTCATTCAATATTATAGTAGATGTATATTTTTTTCAATTTTTGCATTTACAATTATCTTTTTCATTTTGATATTGAAGATAGGACACATTTTGAAAATAAATAAGTTCAGCAAAATGATGTTCAATGATCTAAAGTAGAATTTGAAAAAATTAATAATGATTTAAAAAAACAAAAAACAAACGAAATAAACATACTTTACTTTGTGGATTGAAAAAATTATTATCATAATCGATTTCTCCTATTTCGAATAATTTACTAATTGTTGTTGGTCTTGGTATTTTTACACCCTAATATATAATTTTCATATGTATATTAATAAGTTTCTTTTAATATTTATTTGAAAATATGAATTTACTCGAATAAGAACTTTATATTTCAGATCTTCTGGTGATGGTAATACTAATGAATCATGTGTAGATAGAAGTTCAGTAATTAATCGATCTTTAGAAAATAAGATTTTTATTTTTCTATTTAAATTATTATAAAATTTACCGCCGAAAACTTGTCGTAGAATACGAGCCATTTCATGTTGTTGTTCTATTGAACAATGATTTTCAAGATCAAGTATAACTGGATATGGTGATGTTTTGAAAAGATTTGGTTCTATAAAACGAATAATAGATTCAAATAAACATGGTTTTACAAGTGTATAGCCATGTTTAACTATTGGTCGACCATTAGCACCATCATAACAATCAATTTCAACTGCACGACAACCTGCACATAATGCTCGATTGTATGCTTCAGGATTACTATCTCCTAATATTTGATTATTAAATAGATAGCTAAAACAAAATTACTATTATTTAATTATTTTAAAAGATGATTTAATCATACGTATTATGTGATGTGTTAATATAATAATCACTCAATGGTCTAAAAATTAAAATAATTATTTTTTCATGTAAATATGAGTCTTTTTTTTTCTAATATACCTTGTCATATCTTGATAAATATGACGAGAACACCATGGTTTTATCAGAGAAAAATCGTCAGACAATAATAAGTTTCGAAAGCCTATAAATAAATCTTTTTTTTTTCTTTTTTATAATTTTATTTTTCCATCCTAAAAGATTGATATTTCTAAGAAAAGACATCTTTTCAGATAAAAATATAGCACATGTTAAAGAGCTGATGCGAAAAATCGATTATAATAAAAAAGCTAATCAATACAATCAAAATTCAATCAATTATTCTAATTGATTTTCATGAAAACCAGTCTCATAATTATAAAGAAATTGCTTACAATCACACGGGCTTGATTTAAAATGACGTATTTTGTTTAATTTTAAATCAGTTTTAATCAACAATAAGTCGAATAATCGATTAAAAATCAATTTGTAATTTTTATATAATTCGTTTTGAGATGAGCTTGAAATGACCCTTAAGGTACCTAGTTCATCAATTTCTTATAATGACTTTCACCTTTAATAGATTTCTTCAGAAATAATGATTAGTTTCTCGAGTTCTTCAACGAAGAGACCAATACAATATCCATAGGAAATTTAATAACGCTATTGTAGCTATGGCTCCTTATCTTAGCTCAATGCATAGTTAGAAGGCCACTTTATACGAGTCTAGATAAATTTTTAATTGGTACGTAAGTAATCACTTTTGATGCTTATGTCAGAAACTTCTTTAGCTAAATATATAGAAAAACAGTTAGCGCGTTTTTTTTTTGTCGCTGACAAGCACGAATCGTACATTAACAACAGGTCGTTACAATATGTGAACTACATCCTTATTGAATTTCTAGAAGATTAACTCAAATGATGATGATGATGACATGCATCCTAGAATAGATGGAATAAAACAATCTCTCTGTAATTAGCAGCAACAGCAAAGTAGTTGTTCATATTTTTATGTCAGAGCGATTGCGCTAATATGTTTTGACATAAATTGTGGAATTCCGAACCAATTTCTTTGCCATAAAGTTCATTCTAGTGAATTATGATTTTTTTATTCAATAGATAGATGTATTCTCTTTCGTATGAGAGAAAGGGATTTCGTATTTGATCTTCAATATCAAAGTAATCATGGGCTTTCTAGAAAACATTGCCTACAATTTTCAGACCTTTAAGATGTTGAGGACTCGAAAAATGAGAGAAAATTTAAACTAAACAGCTGTTTTTCTCATGCGAAATGATAAGGAATTCTCTTTGAAATGCGAGTAATCCATGTAGTGTAGTTTTGAAATTTATTGAAAAAAAAAAATTTGTACGTGTCAACGCCTTTTATTGCAGTATAGATCATGGATATTTTCAAAACGATGAGTATTGAAGTATTGAAATTTATTAATAGTGTATTTTCATTAGTGGAAAATCTATAGAAAGTTTCCTAGATATACCATATACTGTATCAAAATTTGATTGTGAAGGGAAAAGGAATACTCTAATCTCAATTTATGAATCTATTATAAGTATGAAATAAATATTCATTCTTTGTAAACAATACAAACCATTGAGACTAAGTTGACCATTTTCTTGTAATTCGGCATCTGTTTCAAATTCATCGATTAATTTTTGTACTTGTTTGCGGTCAGTAATTGAAACAAGTGAATAATCAGATATAGATTCATTTGATTGATATTTTATTATTGTTTGCTAAATAAAACAAAAAATATGATATTATTTTTTATTTAGATAAATAAATAAAATTGAATCAACTTGCATTTTGAATATTTCGAAGAAAATATAAAAGTTCATCGACATTCATAGAAATTGTATCCATGGATTGCTTATCACCATCTTTGACATACCTTTACTAACAAATAGTAATCTAAATAATTAATTTCTATTTATTCGATTACTGTTGCATAATTTCATATAGATCTTTGCGACGAGTAAGTACATGAAAGAAGGTTATAAATTCATCTGATGTCAAAACTCCGTTGCTATTTTTATCTGCCTTCTAAAACAAATGTAAAACAAACAATAAGATAAGTATTAAACAATCATATCTTTCATACTTTGAAAAGTGTTTCAAAAGCACTTTCTGACACTTTTGCATTGAGCAAATCTATAAGTAGTCGACGGCATTCACTTTTCGTTAATGTACCAGATCCATCTTTATCAGCCAAGCAAAAATAATTCAATATCCAACTAGAAAAAAAATACAAGAAAAACAATTGTAACTGAAAATTATATTGTACTAAAATTAATTATTCAAGAAAATGTGATGAATAATTTTTTTTCTCTCTTGTTCTTTCTTATATTTCATCCCGAAGCATAAAGCAATAGAATTTTTGTGTTCAAAATAAAAATAAATAGTTATTATTAATCATATTTTTCATTTTCAAGATTCAGATTTTCTTCTGTATGTGTTCTATTCATTACCGCTAATAGAAGTATTATACTTGTACTTAAGCTTGTTCTTTCACAAATAAACTTGACTGTGTACTTACACTTGAGTAAGAAAGCTGTTTGTGCAATCCCTGCGAAATTAAAATATGAAACACGATATTGTTGCTCTTGATAATCATAGAGAAATTGTTCTATGCTATCTATTCGGAGATATATATCTGCATGATCGTTTTACTCAATCCTTCAGCAATCTAATAAGGGAGTACTTTATATATTACAATAAGACATTATTAATGCATGATTTTTTGGTTATATATTGAATGAAAACTTTTAGTATGATATGTTAAGAAGTTCATTCATATTCACTAGTAAATATATCTATTTTTATTATTCAAGTTTCTGTGAAAATATTATAAGTTTTTTCAAATGATAATTCTCGTTTAATTTAATATCATGTGTAGACATAATTCTGTGCGAAAATAAGAAAAAATTATTTGCATTGCGATTCATGATCTATAATCCAAAACAGATTATTGTTTCGTTGTGGTTTTGAATGACTGACAAAATTTTCTAACTATTGTCTTGGAAGAATACTTCAAATTACACAAAAAATACTTTTTGCATTTCAAATTAAAGTAAACTTATTTTATAGTATAACTACAAATATCAAGTATACCTTACGAATATGTATACTGTTACTTTTAATTGAAAAGTACGAAAAGTCGAAATGGAAATACTTTCGTACTAGCTCTTATTCTATTCATATTAAATGACTGTTGTAATCAATGAACATTTGTATTAATGTTCGTTTCATCATCTGAAAAAGTTCCTTTTTTATGATTTTGAATGAAATATTCTGAAACTTGTCAATGTATTTTTTGTTTGACTTTTCAAATTTCTTAGTGTTTTCTTTTGATGATGGTAATACAATATTTCACATTAATATATATATGAGGTAGATAGGAGAACGATTAGATCATCCATTAAATAAATAAAAGTATAAGCAAGAGTTCTTTTTAAGTATTTGTCTGTCCTTGATAATTTTGTCTCACATACCGATTTATTATTGTGGTTTCGTTTTACGTTACTCAAAAAAAAAAAAAATACAATATTAAAAAAGAATTAAACAAAAGAATATCTATCACGCTATTTACTAAAATAAAATATTTTGCTTCTAAATATTATTGAAACATAAATAATGTGAATCTATTGCTTACTTTGTTTCAGTAATAACATGTTGTTGGCGTTTTTGAGCATTTGTATACATCAGATGTTGCAAACATTGTACCCATGCATCTCTCGTCTGTTCATCATTTGCCATCAAATGAAGTTCATTTCGATAATTATTGTAGAAGAGAGAGAAAGCACGTTTTTCCTATATGTCACATATTTTAGAGACTTCTATATATATTAATAATAAACAACTACGTATGTATAATATTTCGTATCACTTGTTATGTTAGAAACTCTCACACTAACAATTCTGTAGTAGCTATACTCTTTAATATATTAAATTGATGAATACAGAATATAATAGAATTCCTAATGACAAAACTTGCTTTTTTTTATTAAGATACAAGATTTTTCTTTGGTTTGAAAAACTAAGAGATTTACAATTGAATGTTACAGACAGATACGTCATCAATATTCATCATTTCACTATAGAGTTGTGTAGATATAAATTTCATAGGAAATTTTTCATTTATTTGTTGAAAAATGATAAGATTTAATTTAAAGATAAAATAAACTAAGTTAATTAAAGAACATCGAGTAAAATATTGTAAAATGCAATGAAATATGATTACTTACATCATCTTGTTCGACAATTTTATGTCTAAAAAGTCGATCAAATGTTCGAGTTTGCAAACCAGGACGAATTTCATCCATTTTATGAATATAATCTATGTTTAAAATATAAACGTGAGCTTTCTTTGTTTAAAAATAATAAATGTAATTACTACTTCATTTATCAAAGAGTAACCTTGTAGAATAGTTTATACACCTCTATTTACTATGTACAAATAAATATATTATTTAAAACTATACATTTATTTGTTTAAAATTGGACTTTTACAAATTATCGAGCTCGTCTTAAATCAAACTACTTTAGTCGTCTATATCATGACTTACTACAACAAAGGAGAGAAGTCATTAAGCGATGAAATCGTGTCTTCACAGTCGAAACTGAGCCCCTTATTTCCTAATAGACAATGCTGATATCAGGAGTCGATTGTCGTTCAAATTAGATCTGTGGACTTCATTTCGACTGTGAGCTTCTCATTCAAAACTGGATATAACTGATCTTTTTGACTGTTATACAATGTAGTATTCATATGAAAACTTTATCTCCTTTTTTCAGCTCTTCTAAATTACAAATACATATCAAAGGAAAACTCTTTGTGTTCTCTATTGAATGGCATATAGAAGTATAACAAAATATTGTTTTTCCCTTTTTTTTTATTTTATATGAAATTGTTCGCTTGTATGTATAATATGAAGATACTCATGAAAAAACTCTTTTACTATTGGCGTGTAAAAGCAGTAATCAGTTCGAATTGTATATCATTGGATAGGCTTTTCAAAGCTCTACAAAAATGATAGCTTTGCGTTGAACTCAATTTGTATTCAAGACGCATGAGTAAAATGCAAAATACACATGTAGATCGACTCAGTTTTTTATGCTAATTCTAGATATGTCATTTGTTTTGATAACAAGTCCCATTATTCTTAGTGAAATCCGTCAAATATCAGTTAAACAGAGTAACTATTGATACTTTTGAATATTGTGCATGTCACTAAAGTGTCTTGAACACAAATGGAGTTCAACACAATACTATCATTTCGTTGAGCTCTAAAAAGCTTATCCAATGATATATAATTCGAAGCGAATCAGTGCTAGATCAAGATTGAAGGAGTTTTTTCATGAATGTCCTTTCCATGTGAAAAGAAATCAAATAGAAATTTATAAAATCGATTTTCACTCGATTTCTTGTGATAATAAGTAGTAAAATTTTCATATAGTTTCATTTGTTTTATATAAATTATGAGCTATGTTTTTGTGATTATGAAATCAATTTTAATGAACAGTTATCAAAATAACCAATGAAATTTTCGATTATTTGTTGATTATAAACAATTAAAGGTGTATGCTTTTAATCGTTTAAAATCGATTTTTTTTTGCATTAGTCGCTTTACATCCACCATATTTTGCATACAAACAAACAGCATCGCCTAGAAAAAAAGGAAAAGGACAAAATTTTGACATACTCCTACGTGTCATTCGATAGCGAAAAGGAGTTTTCATTCAACATACGATTTAAATTCAAAGAGACGAAGACAAAAGAACAAGCTTTTACCAAAAATAGTGTATAACATAAACCTATGAAAGATAGATACTATCGACTTCTGAGTCAGTCACATGCAGTTTGAAAAGGTATTACTGTCTAAACCGAATGACAATTGACTTGTGACATTCGAATTGGTCATTAAGAAAAATCAGGAAATCAATATAGGGCAGTGATTGATTTCATCGATTACTAACCTTCCTCATTTCCTCTGAAAAGAACTTATGTATTCTTGAACGAAAAAAAAATGTTTTATTGATACTTACAACGATTTGGTTGTGCAAACACTTTTTCTGATTGATGATAAGATATAAAATATTCATGTTCATCAAGAAAGAAGTGACGGGAATACTTTTCTCCATTACGTTTTCTTTTTGTTAATATTGAACCACATTTTAATTCTCTTAGAAATCGAGCTATATATTCATTATTTGTTGAAGACATTTTTTTTGTTTTGTGTCCTTTACCTCTCTTGAAAATTTTCTAAGTGAGAAGAGAACATATAAAAAAAAA